ATAAGAGGTGGCCTACTTAATGAAGTTTCGTGATGAACTTTCAAACAATCTGTCCTTGATCATGTAACATCCTGTGTTTACTGCAGGAGCTTGGGGACCTAAATAGCTTAAGATTATTAACATTGTTATAACTTAGATGATATGTGAGGCACTGTGCATGTCCTATATAAATCCTTTCCTAAGAATCAATAAACAGAGAATTGCTTCGCTTCTCTCTGCACGGTGTTCGTGTGTGCATGTTATCGTGCCACCGACAGACGGTGACCCCAACGTGATATCAGACTCGGCAACACATAAGTGGAATTAGGGAAATTTTGGGGGATTTTTCAGCCTAACAGGTGTGCTGATAATATTCATGGGGCAACAGCTTACTAAGCAGCAGAATGATATAAGTGTGGCGACTACATGTAAGTAAGGGAAAAATTTTATATTGGGGATTTTCAGCCTATCAGGCATGCTGCAATGTAACCATGGGACAGCAGCAGACAGTACAGCAGAGGATTTATTTCCGTATTCTGCAGCAATTGTTAAAGGCTATTTCAAAGCAGGGCACCCTCCCAGCTGTCCCTCAAAAACAAATGTAGAGAATCACTGTCAGCCAAAGTCCTATCTCACCATTTCTGACCTCATCACAGCTTCCCCCGGGAGCGCAAGTTTAGATCCAATGACTATTGATAATGAGTTGATAAATGACAGTAATAAAACCTACTTAATCTCTACTGGAGTTTGGGGACCTTTACCTTCTGGGTATTTTGTATTGCTAATAAGGAGATCATCCATGGGCTTAAAAGGGTTAACAGTTTTACCTGGTGTTAGTGATAATGATTATACTGGAGAAATTAAAATTATGGTTCATGCCTCTTCTTATTACATTATTCCTAAGCAATCTCAAATTGCTCAAATTATTTTAATACTTTATTTACCTGCTCAAAAAGTTTGCTGAAAATAATAGAGGAGATAAGGGCTTCAGACATACAGGATAGCAAGCTTTTTGGACACATTCATTAACCGATAACAGATCTGTTTCGACAGTTTCAATACAAGGGAAGCAACTTACAGGGTTATTAGACACAGGAGCGGACAAAACTATTATTTCTAGTTTTCATTGGCCTTTTGATTGGCAAAAACACAAATCTGATGTTACTATCAAGGAGTTGATGGACTGATGGCACCTAAAATAAATTCTCACCCACTAAAGGTCTGAGGGCCTAAAAATAAAACAGCCTTTGTAACTCCTTTTATATTACCAATACCCTGCACTCTATGGGGCAGGGACCTTCTTGCTCAATAAAACCTAATCTTAAAGATTGATCCTTTTTAATAGGGGCTGCCGCTACTATCCCAAATATTATTCCCGTTGCTCTAACATGGACCCAACAGCCACCTGTTTGGGTAGAGTAATGGCCCTTCCTGAAGAAAACTACAAGCATTACAAAAATTGGTTTCAGGACAACTAAAGTTGGGTCATTTAAAACATTCTACTAGTCCTTAAAACACACTTGTTTTTATAATTTAAAAAAATTTAAAAAATGGAAGTTATTGCAAGATTTGCATGCTATAAATGCTGTAATGCAACCTACGAGACCCTTACAAAAGGGGCTACCCAGTCCTTCACTTATTCTTGACTCTTGGCCCTTACTTGTTATTAACATAAAGGATTGTTTTTTTCTCATTACCTTTGCACAAAGCTAATAAGAAAAATTTGCCTTTACTGTTCCTACCTATAACAATCAGGAGATTCCTAAACATTATCAATGGAAATTCCTTCCTCAGGGTATGAAAAATAGTCCTACTATATGTCAGCAATTAGTAAGAACAATTTTAGAAACTATACGTCAACAATTTCCTCAGGCATATATTTTTCATTATATGGATAACATTTTACTGGCTATAAAAAACAAACCTAATCTCCTTCTATTTAAAAAAACTGTTACAATTTTACAAACTAAAGGCCTTTTTGTTGCTCAAGACAAAATACAAAAAACGCAACCTTGGGAATTTCTTGGGATAACTATTAACACACAAACTATTAGGCCACACGATATGAAATTAGATATCAAGCCTTGTATGACATTAGTTCAATTGCAACAATTGCTAAAACATATTAACTGGATCAGACCGTTTTTAGGAATACGTACATTCCAATTACATCATTTATTTCAGTTGTTAGAAGGAGATAGGGAACCTACCTCATTACATACATTAGCCCTTAAAGCTATCAAAAATTTTAAAAAGGTTAACGAAGCTTTAAACTGTCAATTTTTACAACAGTTGCAACCTAAATTACCTATTATTCTTATTGTTTTAAATACACCTCAGACACCTACAGGGGTGCTTACATAAAAAAGGGACACTTTATTCTTATTAGAGTGGATTTATTTGTCTCACTCATTAACTCAGGCCTTAACCACTACTTATCATGTCTATGCTGATATCATAAAGCTCAACATTGCTGTTTACAGTTAATGGGACAAAATCCTCAAAATATAAATTTACCATGTACTGCCAGCCAATTCCAAAATTCTTTTATGAGAAATAAAGATATCCAGACCTCTTTAAAAAATTAGCTAAAAAAAATTGCATTTAAAAAATATTCACATCCTCTGTTACAATTTTATAGACAAGTGCCTCTAAAATTAATGACTATTATTTCTAAAAAAACTCTTATTGCAGGCAGTTACATTGTTTATTAATAGTTCTGGAAAAATGTCCAAAGCTGCCATTGCATGGTTTAATGGGAAACAATGGTGTTCAAAATTTACTACAGGACATTAAAGTACTCAGATAGCTGAGATTGCTGCAATAGAGCTAGCCCTATT